TAATCATACATGCTTACGATAAAGTTTAATTTATAAATTAGATACATCAAGAGATTGATAACTAATAAAATAGAACAATTATAATAATATACTACAACAGTTATGTGAATGTGGTCTCTCTCTCCTTTAAAAAATTTTATTGTACTGTACTCGCCCTTTTTCTTCTTGTGATATGTTGATCTGACAACTGAGAAGGCTACTAAGTGACTAACAGGTGGGTAGCTTATACAGTGTGGATATGCTGGATAAAGGAATGATTCACATTCTGGGTGGGATGGAGTGGGATGGTGTGAGATTTCATCACACCACTCAGAATGGTAAACAATTTAAAAGTTATGAATTGTTTATTTCTAGAATTTTCCATTCAATATTTTCCGACTGTAGTTGACTGTAGGTAACTGAAACCACGAAAGCAAAACTGTGGATAAGGGGTGGGGATACTATACAGGCAGTCTTCACTTTGCAAGGTAGTATGAAACCATAAAAATGCCTATGAAAGCTGAAACCAGGCACAGTCATCTTAATAACCAATGGGAAAAACTACTATTGCTCCATGACCTTTAAAATTTTTTGTCAACACATTAAAAATTCTCTATGGTTAGTCACAAAAGTATAGGAAAAAAAGTAAAACTAATATTTAGTTCATTGTGATTTAAAAAAAATTAGTAACATTGAGAATTGTTTTATTTCTTTGTAAAAAGTTATCAAGAGAGGTTTGAAGAGTGGTTGCCCTTTTATCATTGTATAACTTACAATATAGAGCGAATATCTTTTCTATGCTTGGAAAATTGTCACATTCCTTTCTATTAATAAGCCTGGATCAGGTACTATAATTCAAGCACCTGGCGGCAAGGTGTATGACTGCTGAGGTCCTTTCAAAGCCTAAGACTCTACAATACAGAAAAGAACAAAAATAGATTGAAAAGAGACAGGCAAGACTTACGTTGTACTGATGATTGGCAACAGGCTTGTAATTGGTTGTTACAACTTTGTCCAGTTGTTGTGATAGCCTTACAGGTTTGGAAGATTCTTCTATTTGCAATCTGAAAAACATAAGGCATTATTAACACACCTTGTTTAGGAGAATGAAACCTGAAAGTTACTTCTATAATTCTTCTTAATAAATAACAGTTAATATATATAAAAAGGTAACTTCAGAGAATATACTAGCCTTAATACTTGAAAAACAAACTGAACATATATATACGACTATAATGTAGAAACCAGTACCATAAGCTAAACATACAAACTATCTCATTATAATTCCACAACATACTTCTCATCCTATATTGCACAGGCAAACCTCAACCACTAAAACCAAGAAGCTAATCAGCTTTAAATTTTTGGGAAAAAATCTGCCATGTAAAACTGAATTATCTTAAATTACATGGTCTAAAATAGTGGTCCCCAACCTTTTTGGTACCAGGGACTGGATTCAAGGAAGACAATTTTTCCATGGACTGGGGCGGGGAGGATGGTTTCAGGATGATTCAAGCACATTACATTTATTGTGCAGTCAAACCTCTCTGCTAATGATAATCTGTATTTGCAGCCAGCCATTCCTTAGTGCTAGCATCACAGCCTCAGCTCCACCTCAGATCATCAGGCATTAGATTCTCACAGGGAATGAGCAACCTAGATCGCTCACACGTGCAATTTTCAGTAGGAGTTGCTCTCCTATGAGAATCCAATGCTGCAGATGATCTGACAGGAGGCAGAGCACAGGCGGTCATGCGAGCAATGGGGAGTGGCTGTAAATACAGATGAAGCTTTGTTTGCTCACCTGCTGCTCACCTCCTTCTGTGCAGCCCAGTTCCTAACAAGCCATGGAACAGTACTGGTCTGCGGCCCGGGGATTGGGGACCGCAGGTCTAAAACTAAACAAGTTATTAATTCAAAACTTATATTCACCTGATAAGAGATAAAGGTAAATAAAAAGAGAATACATCAGTATTTAAGGTTTAGGGACTAGTGGCTCGCTTATTGGACAGTACAGATATAGAAGCTTTTCATCATCACAGAAACTTCTACTACACAGCACTGTTCTGGAACTATTGCAGGACTCTACCTAAATTAAAATATAATTCAAAATGCCACTTTTGGAAAAATGGCCATAAAATAAATATATGGCACCATGCAGAGCATATTAGAAACATAATACTTGTTCATAATACATATTCAAGTAACAATCTTAGGATATTTTGTCTTATATTTAA